AGAGACAGGGTTTCACCATATTAGCCAGGCTGATCATGAACTCCTGACCTAGTGATCCGCCCGCCTTGGTCTCCCAAAGTGCTGGGATTACAGGCATGAGCCACCATGCCCAGCTTTTTTTTTTATTTAAATTTTGAGACACAGTCTTGCTCTGCTGGCCAGGCTGGAGTGCAGTGGCATGATCTGGCTCACTGCAACCTCCACCTCCTGGGTTCAAGAGATTCTCCCACCTTAGCCTCCCGAGTAACTGGGTTACAGGCATGCACTACCACGCAGAGATGAGATTTCACCATGTTGGCCAGGCTGGTCTCCAACTCCTGACCTCAGGTGATCTGCCTGCCTCAGCCACCTGCTGGGATTACAGGTATGAGCCACGATGCCCAGCCTTCAGTTTCTCCCAATTGTGTTATAGGTTTAATGCAACTGTGATTTAAAAGAGTGGTTTGTTTTGTTTTGTTTTGTTTTTTTCCTGAACAAACTTATTCTAACATTTGGGAAGGAAAAGGCAAGCAAGAATAAAAAAGTTTTTTGTTTTACTATGTTTTTTAAGACAGGGTCTTCCTCTGTGACCCAGACTGGAGTGCAGTGGTGAAATCACATCTCACTGCAGCCTCCAACCTCCTAGCCTCAAGTGATCCTCTCATCTCAACTTCTTGAGTAGCTGGGATCACAGGTGTGCGCTACCACAACTGGTTATTTATTTATTTATTTATTTTGGTAGAGATGGGATCTTATTATGTTGCCCAAGCTAAGTCTCAAACCCTTGGGCTCTAGAGATCTTCATCCTCACCCTCCCAAAGTGCTGGTATTACAGGCATGAAGCCACTGTGCCCAGCCTAAAAAAGTTCTTGAGGAAGGAGTAATATGTTTGAGATGGAAATACTCTTAGCCACTGAAACGTGATAAAGTTACAATCACTAAACCTGTGTGCTGAGGTAAGAAAAGACAGATCAGTGAAACAGAATTTACTGACTAGAAATGGATGCTTTTCTACAAAAATATTTTTAAAACCAGGCCTAATTATCAATAGAGAAACAGATAAAAATTCAATAAATGGGGTCGGGACAACTGATTAATTACTTCATATAAAGATCAATTTAGATGCGGTGGCTCACACCTGTAATCCCAACACTTTGGGAGGCCGAGGCAGGCGGATCATGAGGTCAAGAGATTGAAAATCATCCTGGCCAACATGGTGAAACGCCGTCTCTACTAAAAAATACAAAAATTAGCTGGGTGTGGTGGCACGTGCCTGTAGTCCCAGCTACTCAGGAGGCTGAGGCAGGAGAATTGCTTGAACCCAGGAGGCAGAGGTTGCAGTGAGCCGAGATTGCACCTGTGCACTCTAGCCTGGCGCCTGGTGACAGAGCGAGACTCTGTTTCAAAAAAAAAAAAAAAAAAAAAAAAGATCAATTTAGCTGTTTATGCCATATACCAAAATAAATTCTCACTACATTAAAAAGTTTTACTGTGAAAAATCAAATCATTCAAATTATTTTTAAATTAAGAAATCTAAACATTTTCTTTTTTTTTTTTGAGACAGTCTTGCTCTGTCGCTTAGGCTGGAATGTGGTAGCATGATCTTGGCTCACTGCAACCTCTTCCAACTCCTGGGTTCAAGCAAGTCTCCTGCCTCAGCCTCCTGAATAGCTGGGACTGCAGGCGTGCACCACCACACCCAGATAATTTTTGTGTTTTTAGTAGAGACACTTTCTTTTTTCTATTTTTTCTTTTTTTGAGATGGAGTCTCGCTCTGTAGCCCGGGCTAGATTGCAGTGGCGCGATCTCGGCTCACTGCAGCCTCCACCTCCCAGGTCCCCGGTTCAAGCAATTCTCCTACCTCAGCCTCCCAAGTAGCTGGGATTATAGGCACAAGCCACCATGCCCAGAAAAATTTTGTATTTTTTAGTAGAGATGGGTTTCACCATGTTGGCCAGTCTGGTCTTGAGCTCCTGACCTTGTAATCCGCTCACCTTGGCCTCCCAAAGTGCTGGGATTACAGCTGTGAGCCACGTGTCTGGCCAATATGTTCAACCTCTAATGGTAATTGGGATTTTTGTGCTTAGAAATAAAATGGAAAAGTGATAAAGAACAACACAATTAAGTTTGGTTACAAAAGTAAAATTATGTAAAAAACATTAATAAGCCAACAACAAACTTAGTTATATCTCCTACAAGTATTCCTTTAGTGTGTTATATCTTAGCATGATGGAACTTCAGTTGGATTAAAAACTTTTTGTCAGACACAGTGGCTTACGCCTGTATCCCAGCACTTTGAGAGGCCAAGGCAAGTGGATCACTTGAGCTCGGGAGTTTGAAAGCAGCCTAGGCAATATAGCAAAATCCCATGTCTACAAAAACAATACAAAAATTAGCTAGGTATGGTGGTGCGTGCCTATAGTCCAGCCACTTGGGAGGCTGAGGCAAGAGAATCACTTGAGCCTGGGAGGTAGACACTGCAGTAAGCCATGATCGCACTGCAGCCTAGGTTACAGAGCGAGACCCTGTCTCAAAAAAAAAAAAAAAAAAAAAAAAAAAAAAAGGCAGGCAAGGTGGCTGATGCCTGTAATCCCAGCACTTTGGGAGGCCGAGGCAGGCAGATACAAGGTCAGGAGTTCGAGACCAGCCTGGCTGACATGGTGAAACTCTGTCTCTACAAAAATAATTGTAATCTCAGCTACTTGAGAAACTCAGGCGGGAGAATCACTTGAACTGGGGAGGTGGAGATTGCAGTGAGCTGAGATGGTGCCATTGCACTCCAGCCTAGGTGACAGAGCGAGACTCCGTCTAAAAAAAAAACAAAAACAATTTTTACTTTTTATTACTTTCCTGTATTTTGTTGCTTTGATAATCATGAATATTCAATTAATTGGAAAAACAATTTATTGGGGGAAAAAACCTACAAATCTGACCAACACAGAGAAATGAGGAAAGCAAGTAGGAGTTAAGCAAAGAGGAAGAAAGGCCTGAGAAAAACTCAGATCTCTCAAAAAAGACCATTTAAGGAAATACATAGGAAATCAAAGTTCAAGGCTGTCTTGCTTCATTTGGATTGTGGAGCTGCTCTCCATCTGCTCCAAAACCAACACAGTGGTTAGGACGGCACAGTGGTTTACCAGGGTGGAGGCAGCGAGAGTGTCCTAGCAGGGAAGAGTAACTTATCCCTGGCATTGTTTAGGATTGCCAGTGCAGGTGATTCGAAAAAACAAACCCACTTGGCTGATTATTAGTTTCCTACAACATTTTCTACAGACAATGTACCCCCTTACTGCCTGGGCCTGGGAGAAACTCCCCTTACCCCACTGTTCTGGAGACAGATAAACCTAGGCTCGAATTCCCCTGATCCCCTTTCTGAATAAAAGAGAAGATCTATTAACACATCCCATCACTAGGTTCGAAAGTAGGTGAAGGCGAACACTATGGTCAGTTCAATAGGCGAGGCCCTGTAGCTAGAGGTTAGGAGAGAAAGAAGAAAGTCTGCAGTTCACCATTTCTTTCTTTTCTTTTTTTTTTTTTGAGACTGTCTCACTTTGTCACCCAGGCTGGAGTGCAGTTACATGATCTCAGCTCACTGCAACCTGCGCCTCCTGGGTTCAAGTAATTCTCCTGCCTCAGCCTTTTGAGTAGCTGGGATGACAGGCATATGCAACCACACCCGACTAATTTTTGTATGTTTAGTAGACACGGGCTTTCACCGTGTTGACCAGGCTAGTCTCTAGCTCCTGACCTCAAGTCATCCACCCACCTTGGCCTCTCAAAGTGCTGGGATTACAGGAATGAGCCACCATGCCCAGCCCTCACATCCTTTTCAAATCCCATCTGTACCATTAGTGTGATGTAGGGCAGCTGTATAGGCTCTGTTAGCCTCAGTTTCCCTATCTTTAAACTGAAGAAAATAGCAGCTCCTCTTGCTATTGTGGAGTCTTGGTGAGGGTTCACTAGGACAATACACATGAAGAGATTTGCCAGGGCCATGCCATGGGGCCTCAGTGAATGGGGGCTGCTGCTTTTGCTTCTGCAGATATGTCTTTTAGTGTCAGGAAGGACAGAGTAGCAAGATCAGAGTGCCTCCACTCTGATGAACACAGGGGCTTGTCAGGAAAAGTGGGGTCTGCAGGGGCTGGGGAGAAGTTAGGATGTTAAAGGATGGATGCAGGAGGAGAGGCAGATAGAGGGAAGAGGTGAGACGGGTTGGGGAGGAGCTGAAGGACACTTCTGGAGGCAGAGGGGGAGAAAGAAGTGGGTAAATGGAAACCCAGCTGATGGAGCCTGACCTAGGGACTACAGGGCTCCCAGGGTCAGCCATTGGTCACCTGCTGGGGGTTCCTAGGTGAGCTCTTGTTTGCTGGGGGTGGGATCCTGGACCCTCCCCAAGACTATGGGAGATGTAAAGTAAGGGGCCCACCCTGAGGCATCAATGGGGACGTAGACAAATGACAAAGAGCAGGTAGGCAACATCCTGGAGAGGTCATATCTGCCTGGAGGTCATGGGGGAGAGGCCAGGCTACAGCCCCAGTTTGGAGCAAGAATGGAGGATAATTGAAGGGTCTGGCAGGTGCTGAGGCCTGAGGAGTGGGTGAGGGGCTGGATCTGGAGGGGACAGTAAGGCAGATGGTCAGGGAAAACAGATCAGATGTGGGGATAATTAAGGGGAAGAGAAAAGGGGAGAGGTGGCAGAGCAGGCCTGGGGAGGTGTCAGGGGCCAGAGAGAACTTAGAGATTGTCAGAAGAAGTGGTGTCTGAGATGATGCGGACGGCATTACCAGTGGTCATAAAAGCCTCACTGCAGTGGGCAAGGCAGGTGCCAGGACAGCTGGACTCACCCTGGGTGATGGTGAGTTTGGTTCCCTCAATGGACTGCCACTCCTTCGTCTCTGATTTGTTTATGTCATCATCTGTCTGTGTGTCCAGCTGGATTCGGCAGAAATACACAGACTGGTCCTCCTTCCGCAGGTTCGAGATCCTGAGGAAGCCGCTCTCCTGACCCTCCTTCCAGCTCAGGAAGAGCCGGTCCAAGTAATTCTTGTGAATGAAATGCGGCCTTGTGCGGTAGAAGACATTCCCATGGAAGTGGTCCCGTCTCCAGAATATTCTCACATTGGGAGGTCTGGCTAACACCCAGGGGTGATAGAAGGAGAAGGGGATTTCCACAGAGCCACCCATGGGGGCCGAGAGGTATTTTGGTTGAGTAACCCCATAGGGGTACCGTGGACTGGATCCTTCGGAGCCACCTAGAGGAGGAAGGGAGGGAGTCAGGGAGAGACCTTGAAGCCACCCTGAGACAGGAAGAAGATGACCCCAGACCCTCCTGCACCTTCACCCACAGTCTGTCGTGTGACAGGTGGCTGGAGTGGCCTCTGGCCTGGGTCTCTCACCCTTTGGGCATGGGGGAGGCAGGAGGAGGAGGAGATGGGGGCACCCATCCCTGTGGGACCTGCCCCTGTTTGCTGGGGTGGTAGTCTGGCCCCTCACCCAGATGTCCCATCTTTGTCTCAGGTTGGCCCTTCCTGTGGTTCCAGGGCCGTCCTGGGCACTCACCAGCCTGCAGGAATAGTGGCAGCAGCAGCAGGGGCAGCAGCAGGGGCCGACCCATGGCCTTGCTCTCTTCCAGGGGACAGGGAGACCAGCAGAGCCGTCCAGGCAGGAGAGGGGCCCTGTGGAGGGGCCGCGTGGGGGTTGAGGTGAGTGGAGAGAACTGGGGTCAGGCTTCCCAGAGGGCTGTGGCGGCTGGGAGCCTCCGCCAAACCCATGCGCCTCCAGGGTGACCAGCACTTCCTTTATTCATCCGGCTTCTTTTCCCTTATTGCAAAAGTTCCTCCCTTGTGGTCAATGCCAAGTCCTGCAGCCCAAGGGCCCTGGTCCTGTCCTGCTGCTGAGGGGCTGGGCCTGGGCTTGGCTGGCTGGGCTCCTCCCACCTGGATCCCTGCAACCCCACCTCACTCAGCCTCACTTCTCATCCTGCTCTCTGCCCAGGGCCAGTGCAGGCTCTTTCAGGGAGAGGAAAGGCAGACCTGAGTCTCTGCCCTGCTGTGCCCCAGATTCAGTCCTTAGAGAGGAGGAGGAGGGGGATGGTGGAGGTCACAGGCACTTAGCCCCCAGCCCAAGCACTGGAGCCCCAGCTGTCCTTTGTCCGTCTCCCTCCCTGGCAGCGGCTCACCACTGCTCTGCTGGCCTCTTCCCACCCCAGGCCCGCTCCCTTGGTGCAGGGACCATGACCTTGCACAAGTGGTGAGGGGGCTGATGATCCCCTACACAGAGACTGGGCCTTCTCGAGGTTACCCCTGGACCCACAGACATGAGACTGGATCTGCAGGGTCCCCTCTGACCTCCCTGCCCTACACAGGAGGGAACGGGGCTTGGAGAAGCCCTGCCTCAGGCCACGCGACTTGCAGTGGTGGGTCCTGGACTGGAGCCCCTTTTACCAGGATGCCTGGGCCTGGCCACAGGGCGGAATCTCTGGGCCTCAACTTCTGAGTGCAGGAACTCGGTGGGGGAGCCCCAGGAGGCTGTCCCCTCATACAGCCCCGCAGGTCATTCATCCATACACCTGAGCTCCTGGCTGATCCAGAAGCTTCCTTGGACAGAAGGAAGTGAAGGCTCAGAGCAGCAGTGGGCCCCCCTCCCCCGCACAGTCCTGGGACCGTCTCTAACAGGGGATCTGCCAGCCTTTGCCCAGAGGTGGTCACTGGGGCGGGGAGCTTTGATGGCCCACAGGGCTCCCTCTGTAGGAGGCTCTGCCCACCCTCTCCAGGGTGAGGTGGCATTGGCTGAGGGGACATGGGGGGCAGGAAGGCAGGATTTCGTCAGAGGAAGTGGCCTCAGCCTTCTTGAGACAGAAGCAGGCAGGGATGGGCCTCCTTTCTCTTGGTCTCTTCCTGGTCCCAGTAGGTAGGCTCCTCTGTGCTTCCCAGGGCCAGCCAGGCCGCCCTGCCCTCCCTCCCTTCACAGGCCTGAGGAAACAGGTTCCTCGAGCTCAGGGAACCCCTCCATCTGAACTAGACCCTAAACACCTCATTCTTTGCTTCACAACATTCTGAGGTGACACATTATCTCCATTCAACCCACAGGGAAACTGAGGCACGGGATCTTTGAGCTGAACTGGTCCCAACTGGAAAGATGGGCTGAAGAGAGGACAAGGGAACCCCTGGCTGCCTGGGCAGGGCCTCGAGATGGTGGCCTGCCCTGCCTGAGGACCTGGCTGGAAGGTCACCTGCTTACTGGACCATCCAAGATGGTGGCCACATAGAGCTTTTACACAACAGCCTCTGGGTAGCTCTGGAGGGCACAAGCTATCCAATGGCCTCAGGCCAGCCATCCCACCATGTGCTGTCTCCTTAGATGCAAGGTGCACATTGATGTCACTTTCCGGGCCCTGGACCCAGCTGAACACCCATGGGAGATTCCTTTCTGTGTCAAGATTTCTGCTCTGGGATGGTGTGAGGCCTCCCAGGTTTGTTCATCCTCCCTCCTCAACAGCAGTGACAGGGCCTGGGACTGAGCCTGGGGCTGTGGCTCTCACAGACGGGGCTTCCAGGAAGAGGAGGGCCTGGAGGAGGGCATGATTCCAACATGGGCAGAGCCTGAATGCAGCCCCTTAGCACAAGTGGCCATGGGAGAGGCATGGGAAGCCACGTGTGGGGAGCAGGGGCAGGGAGTGGTCCAGGACCCTGCACCACATTTTGAGAACCACTGCTTGGATGTCCCTATGTTACCCCAACAACCACCCTCCTTTCCTCACTGGCTACATCCATCCCTGCCCTGCCTACGCTGTTCCTGCTTTGCTCCAATCCCAGTTGACATCCTGTAGGTTTTGCGGAATCCACAAGCCAACTGTAAAATTCTTACAGTAATTCAAAAGACCTAGAATAGCCAAAAGGTCTTTACAAATGAAGAATGAAGGTGGAAGAGTGATAATACCTGACTTCAAGACTTGCTGTGAAGCTTCTGGAAGCAGGCTCTACTGTCCTCAAGGTACGATCCTCCCCCAGGCTGAAGTGCAGGGGCGCAATCACCATCACTCAGCCTGGACTTCCTAGACTCAAGTGATTTGCTGACCTCAGCCTCATGAGTAGCAGAGACCACAGGCACACACCACCACATATGGCTTATTTTTTTTTTTAATATTTTTTTTGAATGAGGGGGGTCTCACTGCTGTCTAGGTTGGTCTCAAACTCCTGGGCTGAAGGGTTCCTCCTGCCTTGGCCTCCATCAGTGCTGGGATGACAGGTGTGAGGCACCGCGCCCAGCCCTCTGTATTGCTGATGTCTGGCATCTCAGACCTCCAAGACCAGAAAGAGACACTGCCCCTGCCAGGGCCAGCCAGTTCTTAGAGCTAGTAAAAGACCCCTCTGGGAATGTGCCTTTCATATGCAAACCAACTAATTTCAGGCCCCAGCCCTGAACCAGCTCTTCTAGCTGGCTCTCACCCTCCAGGACACAGTATTTCTCTGCCTTCATCTCCCTGGGCCATGCGCCAACCAGTAACAGCCCCTACTCCCCAGAGTTCTAACTAGCCAATCCTAAAGCTGCATACCTTGCCTTGTCTTTTCCAAAGGGTCTCACCCAGGATTCCCCTTGGCTTGCTCTGCCCCTGAGGCACCCTGGTGCTTTCCCGAGGGGCCCTCTGTGGCTTACTGTGTCTCCCGTTTCTGGGGATCTGTGAGGATACACTGCCTCCCTCATGACCCTCATTTCCATGTCTGCCTGTCTGGCCATACCTGATGAAATGGCAGATGCTTTTTAATCATTTCTTTATTTAAAAAAATTTTTTGTTTGTTTTGAGAGGAGTCTCACTCTGACGCCCTGGCTGCAGTGCAGTGGCGCCATCTCGGCTCACTGCAATCTCTGCCTCCAGGTCCAAGCGATTCTCCTGCCTCAGCCTCCTGAGTAGCTGGGACTACAGGCACCCGCCACTACGCCTGACTAATTTTTGTAGTTTTAGCAGAGACGAGGTTTCGCCATGTTGGCCAGGCTTGGTCAGGATCACCTGACTTCAGGTAATCCACCCACCTAGGCCTCCCAAAATGCTGGGATTACAGCGTCCTGCCAGCAGGTGCATTTTGAAAGAGCTTGTAACTCTCCCAACAATCCCAGGAGGTAGGCAGAGTCTCTGTTATGTTCCTCAATTTGCATAAGAAGAAACGGAGGCCCTGAGGGTGGTTCTGAGCCTGGCCTGAGGTCACATGGCCCATAAACGTCCACTGTGGCATCAGGTCTGAGCCTGGGGCTCGGTGGCCGACCACTTCCTCATTCAGTGACATCAGCTGGCAGTCCTCTGTGACAACCACGCTTCCCTTTTCTGTGTTGTCTTCCTTCTGCACAGGGAGGTGCTTGAGGGCTGGGCACTGGCTGGTGTAACTTGGGGTCCTTATCACCCAGTGCCGTGTGCCAGGCAGGCAGTGCTGCCCAAATGTGCCTGGAGTGCATGGAGGCATCTTCCAAGGGTCGGGATCAGGCAACAATCATTTTCAGTAGAGATGGGGTTTCACCACATCAGCCAGGTTTTTTTGCTTGTTTTGTCTTTTTTTGAGACAGGGTCTCTCTCTGTCACCCAGGCTGGAGTACAGTGGTACAATCACAGCTCACTGCAGCCTTGATCGTCCCCTGAGGGCTCAAGTGATTCTCCAGTCTTGGCCTCAAAATGACCTGGGATTACAGGCATGAACCGCTGTGCCTGGCCCAATCATGCTTTTACAGTGAAGCTTATAAAAACCCAAAAGGCATATAGAGGGCTTCTGGATAACAACACATAGAGCTTCCTAGAGAGTGGGGTGCCTGGAGAAGGCACTGAAGTTCTGCACCCCTCTCCCCAGGCCTCCCTCTATGTATCTCTTACATCTGGCTGTTCATCTCTATCCTTTGTAATATCCCATATTTTTATTTTTATTTTGAGACAAGGTCTTGCTATGTTGCCCAGGCTGGTCTCAAACTCCTGTGCTCAAGCGAACCTCAACCTTGAGGTTCGACCTTGCAAAGCACAGAGATTACAGGCATGAGCCATGTCACCCAGCCCTATAATATCCTTTATAATAAAGGGGCACATGAGTAAAGGGTTTCCCTGAGTTCTGGGTGCCCCTCTAGAAAATTAATGGAACCCAAGGAGGGGATCATGGGAACCTCAATTTTTATAGCCCTGTGTCAGAAGCACAGCCACGACATGAGCTTGCAACCGGCATCTGATGCGGGGGCAGTCTTGTGGAACTGAGCCCTCACCCCGTGGGTTCACAGGAAGCAGCCAACTTGCTGTAGTAGCCTTGGCCACCACACCATCTCTGACAGTGTTCCTGCCCCTGCCCACTCCTTCTTCTGTAAGGATTCCCTTTCGGCAGGCACAGTGGCTCACACCTGTAATCACGGCACTTTGGGAGACTGAGGCTGGAGGATCACTTGCGCCCAGAAGTTTGAGACCAGCCTGGACAACTTGGCAAAACTCCGGTATCACTAAAGAATACAAAAATTATCTCAGTGTGTTGGTGCACACCTGTAATTCCAGCTACTCAGGAGGCTGAGGCAGGAGAATTGCTTGAACCTGGGAGGTTGCAGTGAGCCAAGATGATGCCACTGCTCTCCAGCCTGGCCAAAGTCTCCGTCTCAAAAAAATATATATATTAAAGAGATCAATTAGGGGATATTGACCTCTTAACAGCGAGCCTTAGCTATGCACAGTGAGTGGCTCATGCCTGTCATCCCAGCACCTTGGGAGGCCATGGCAGGGAGATCACTTGAGCCCATAGTTTGCGACCAGCCTGGACAACATAGTGAAACCTCATCTCTACCAAGAAAAAAAAAAAGAAAAGAAAATTACAAAAATTAGCCAGGTATGGTGGCATATGCCTGTGGTCCCACCTCTTTCAGAGGCTGAGGTGGGAGCATCACTTGAGCCCAGGAGATTGAAGCTGCAGTGAGCCAAGATTCCACCACTGCACTTCAGCTTGGGTGACAGAGCAAGACTTTGTCTCAAAACACCACTACCACCACCAACAACAACAAAAAACTGAGCCTTGTGATGTATGAACGTGATGTATCTCTCCCTTGACTTAGGCCCTGGCACTCAGGTCTTTCAGGCATGATCTGGCCTGGCCCCCAAGCAGTGTCAGCCACACCGCCTGGTATAAATGTGAGGCTGCTCACGGAGCACCCTCATTAGGCAGCTGTGCCTCCACCCACCAGGAACACACTTGTCCAGGCCTGCCTGCTGCTCTCCTTCATCAAGAATTCTTCCCAGCCCTGCGCCCCTGGGTGGTTTAAGGTGCTGCTTTGCACCTCAGGCTCCACATCTGTCAAATGGACTTCCTGAGAATACCCACATCCTGACTTGTTTTAAGACAAGACTATCCAGGAAGAGTTACTCAGCCGTTGGGAGCCTCCTGGTTTACAATCTTCACATCACCGCAGGCTTGATCACCCTTCTCATGTACCTGATGCTCAACGTGAGCCATGCAGGCACCACACCGCCACAGAAGGACCCCCAGGATTCAAACCCAGGTCCATTCAAAGCTAAAACCTTACATTGGGTCATGGGTGCTGGGGGCTTGTCCTGGACACCTGAGGCCACTGGATGGGAGGCAGGTGCTGCTGCTGGGCTGACTCAGCTCTTCCGCTGGAGCACATCAGCTCCCTCCAGCCTCAATTTCCACATATACGGAGCCAACAGAACCCTGGTCTCTGCATCTGAGGCCCAACCACACCCCACAGCACAGTGCACCACGCACTCTCAGGGCGTCCTTTGACACCGTGGTGGCTCTAACTCTTGAGGCTGGGCAGCGAGGAGCAGGCTGGCTGTGGGGAGACTTTCTGGGTCCCAAGGTGTTTGGCTTTGAGTTCCACAGTGACCAGGCTAGGCTGCAGCCTCCCAAGCTTATGGAAGCCAAGCGCAGGCCCAGGGACTCTTCCTCCACTGTGATGGGCAAGTGGCCCTGGCTGGGGTAATAGGGGTCCCCTCAGAGCTCCCCTTCGTCTACTTAGAGAAACCAAGCTTTCTGGGGATCCCCCTCAGGCTTCCCCTGAGACCTTACAAGCCCCACTGTTTACACCCCTACCCCGGGTTCAGAGTGCTCTCTCCCCTCCCCTCATCATCTTCCTCCTCAGCCCTGCCTTCCTGACCCTCCTCAGGGACCTCTGCAGCACCCCTTCCTCTCTTCCTTGAGCCCCCAGCCCTGGAGGAACTGCTGAGCTGTGTAGGCCAGTGCTGAGGGCTTCTGGGAGGAGGAGGATGACCACCAGCTGAGGAAGGCAAGCCTAACCAGCCGCAACCATTCTCTTCCCAGCACAGTGCAGAACTGGGGGCTGGATGGGTTGGGCCCTGGCAAGGCCACTTCAGGGCCTGCCTGGGGCAGGGCATTGGGCTGTGGAGGGTGGTTCAGGTGGACACAGCCTCCAGGCAGGCCACCCCTGAGCCAGTCCCCCATGCAGTCCGCAGGGAGGGGCTGAGGGGCAGATGCCCTCCCTCCTCAGAAGTACTCACCCCAGCTGGGGGGGCCGCCTCAGTCTGGCTCCAGAATGACACGTCCTGCCACCTAGGGCCTGCCACGTCTTGGCAGCCCGGAGCCTTCTCCCCCACGCTGTCTCGTTCGGCAAAGGCCTTATCAGGCCCAGGCCATGGGGCCCACCAGCAGAAGGGCCAGCTCTGGATGGAACATTTGTGCAGAGGCTCCCGTGTCTGTGAAGGCCTCTGCCTGCCCTGAGAGGAGCTGGGGAAAGTGACTGAGGGAAGATTTCAAGTGAGTCTCCCTACTCTCTACTCCCTGCCTCTGATGCAGTCCAGGCCACAGCAGGGAGCCCGGCAGGGGGATGCCAGGTCAGACCACAGGGACTTCTCTTAGGCTGGAGCTCCAGGAACCCTTGCTGCTGTTCTAGGACATGGTGGGATTAGAGCAGGGGCCATCCCACTGGGAGCCCCCAATCCTATTTCCCTAACCATAGGTGTCGCTCAGGAAGCCCTCAGCCCCACGCCACCCTGGGAAGGCAGGGCAGATCTCTAAGATTGTGACACTCTGCCCTCTCCCTGGGCCAACCCCAGCCTTGCCCCGAGGCCCCAACCCACTCTGGTTCTCACCTGGCTTCTGCCTCCCTAATCTCTTCATCCCCAAAGAAAAGGCACAGCTGAGGCCCACAGAGGAACTGTGTTGCTGTCTTAGTTACAGGGGTTGGGGAAGTGTCACAGCAGGAAACAACTGGAATGGGGTTCTGTCACTTATACATGCCTGTGCCCACACCCCCACACGTGCACACAGACCACATCCGCAGCAGGTGGGCCCGGTCAGGTACCCGTGGGACACTTATTGGAGGCCCAAGAATAAAGTAAGTGGATGGCACCCAGGAGGCCTGAGAGGGGGAAAGCCTAGCAGCCTCATGGTCTCTCTCACTGAACTCCTAAGTCTCCCTCCATGGCCCTGGGCCCCCGAGCGTCAGGGAAGAGAGTGAGGCTGGGACATGTGTGGGGCGGCCTCTCTCCTGCCTGAGCGTAGAGTCCATTCTCAACGGAGACAAAGCTGCCACGTGCAGGGAAGGCTGTGGAGGCCCAGGCTGCAGGGGTCTGGGGCTGGTGTGCAGTGTGGGTGGGGAACGATCCCCACCAGGATGGCCCCCCGTGGGGGTGAGCCATGTCCAAAGTAGCTGGGCAGAAGCTGGTGTTTATAGTGGTACAAGGGACATGGAGAGCATCCTGGGAGGCCTGGCTGGGTGCCTGCACAGAGAAAGGAGAGTTAAGTGAATCTGTACAGCTTGGGCCCAGCCCCAGTTCCCCTGTCCCCACCACCTTGTCCCCAAGGCAGTCACTCTCCTCACCCATGCTCGTGATCTCGGTGACTGGGGGCTCGTGTGGGGTGGCTGGAGCCTAGGGACAGGCCTGGGAGAGAGCAAGAATGGTCAGAGCTCTGCAGGACATGTGGCCAGCCCAGTGTCAGGGACATGGACAGGGCCCGGTTCTCACCAGTGCTTCTGTCGGTGCAGCAGGTGAAGAAGGTAGCCACAGCCAAAGAGGAGGACTCCTGAGATCCCCAAGATCCCAGCCAGGTCTGCCCGCAGAATAGGGGCAGGAGTTGGCGGGGCAGAGAGCCCTGGACACAGACAAGAATCAAATGGGTGGCTGGTGCCCGAGCCCCTCCCTGCCCTCCTGGGTCCCTCACCCCAACCCCACCTGGGTCTGAGCTGGGCGGGAGGCTCCCACAGCCCTCCCAGGAGCCCTCGGGGAAGGACGCAAACTTGCAGCAGAAGGTGGTGTTGGCAGAGGGGCTACCAGCCCCAGGCCCTTCCAAGGTGAGAGAGACGCTGCTGTGGGTTTCCCAGCGGGCCTGGTGGGCAGGAGCCCACTGCCGGGTGCCAAGTTCTGGGTGCAACACAGCCAGCCTGGTCCCCCCGGCACCATCGGGCCCCCCCCAGCTCACAGTCACCAGGGAGATGGAGCCAGATCCCAGGAACCCACAACGGACAATGAAGGATGAGAGCTCAGTGGCCTCCATCTGAACTTGCACCCACACCTCTGGGGTCCCTGAGGAAAGGTAGCAGAGTCAGTGGGCTGTCGTCCCACAATACCCTCCCTGCAGCCTCTGCTCCTCTCTGGTGCCGGCACTCACCCACAGTGACACACAGGGTCAGCAGCATCCAGGGCAGGGCCAGGGTCCGGTGCCCCATGGCTCCTTCCAGTCCAGGTTCTGGGGGCTACAGGGCACCTGGGCCTCTGTTCTCAGCGCAGGAAGTCTTCATGTTGTCAGCAGCCAAACAGCCACTTCCTTCTCTCCTCTCACACCTTCCTCAGAGGTGGTGAACACAAGGTGGCTGATTCCCTTCTTAAAGGGACAGTGAGGGCCCGCTTGGTCCCCAAGGCTGTGCTTCTGGGTGACAAGGCAAGGTGGCACAGGTGGGTGAGAACCCAGCCCTGACTAGGCCAGGGGAGGGGCAGAGAAGCTGCCAGAAGTTAGAAGGACTCCCCTTTCCTGGACAGTGAGGGGTGCCAGGCTTCCCTAGGAAAGGGCTCTGTCCTGCCCCTCACCCAGCTTAAGAATCTGGAAGGAGAAAGCCTCTGGGAGTGGGAAGCCAGCAGGAAGGACCTGACAGCCAGCCCAGCGTTCGTGACCTACCACCAACCTGACATGGGTCCCACGCTTACACCTGCAACCCAGGCCTCTCCCACAACCCCCAGCCTGGCTTGCCCACTGCCCACTTATACCTCCTGATCTACCCTAAACACACTCCACTCTGGGCTGTGCCCCACACACACTCTCTCTCTCGTCAAAAGCAATGGCAACTGGCTTCTGGCTGCTGTGGCCCAAAGCACAGCCACCTGTGCCTCTTCCCTTTCACCTCCAACATGCCAGGAAATCCTGTTGGCCTCACACCCTCACTAAAGGACCAGTTCTTCCCACCCCACCCCCACCCCCTTCTGACTCTGGGCGTAATCTTCTACTGCCTGGAAGAGCAGGAACAATGCAGAATTGGCCTGGCTGGTTCACACTGCAATGGCCAGTGGGACCCTTTCGAACCCAAGTCAGACAGGCCATTCCCTTTCTTGACTCTCACAGTCCATGACACCCAGAGCTGATGCCCCCTATCATCCCTACCTTCCCTTACCTCCTACCTCACATTGCGTACCTGTGAGTTTAATTAAAAGTAGGAAGATTTCAGCTGAGAGTTGGTTAAAAAAAAAAGGGTAAGATTTGGAAGTGACCAGGAGGAAACAGGCTGGCCCTTGCTGCGAGGTGTACACAGACAGAGAATGAGAGGCCAGCACTTTAGGAGGCCTAGATGGACAGATTGCTTGAGTCCAGGAGTTCAAGACCAGCCTGGGCAACGTGGTGAGACACCATCTCTAAAAAAAAAAAAAAAAAAAAAAAAAAAAATTAGCCAGTCATGGTGGCGGGTGCCTGTAGTCTCAACTATTTGGAAGGCTGAGGTGGGAGGAACGCTTAAGCCCAGAAGGTAGAGGTTGCAGTGAACCATGACTGCACTAGTACACTCCAGCCTGGGTGACAGAGAACCTGTCTTGATAAATAAATAAATGTTGCTCTGAATTGCTTCCCTGCTTATGTCACTTTGAGGTTGCAAACTGACCAGAATGCTGCTAGGCAGCGACAGGTGACCCTTTCTAGGGATCAGTTTGGTTTGTGTGCTGTAAGCCTGAATCCAGGGTCCAGTGAGAGCCCAGGGTACTGTCTTGAGGTTGATCTCGTCCAGGGTGTGACAAGGCAAGGTGGCACAGGTGGTTGAGAACCCAGCTGTGAGGGGTGCACGGCGTCCCTAAGGAAGGTGGTAAGGACTGAAAAGTCAGCCCTGTCCTAAGTCATCTCTCTGGGCCCTGGCTTGCCCCTGTGTCAAAGACTCATCATGTCTGCTTAATCTTGTGGTGCTGGCTGGATATGGTAGATCACAACTGTAATCCCAGCACTTCAGGAGGTTGAGAGGGGTGGATCACTTGAGCCCAGGAGTTTGAGACCAGCCTGGGCAACACAGTGAGACCCTGCCTCTACAAAAAATAAACACTAGTCGGTGTGGTGGCTTTCGCCTGTAGTCCCAGTTACTTGGGAGGCTGAAGCGGAAGGATCGCTTGAGCCTGGGAGGCAGAGGTTGCAGTGAGCCAAGATCACACCACTACACTTGAGTGTGGGCAAGAGTGAGACCCCATCTCAAAAATAATTAAAAATTTAAGGCCAGGCGTGGTGGCTCACGCCTGTAATCCCAGCACTTTGGGAGGCCGAGGCGGGTGGATCATGAGGTCAAGAGATCGAGACCATCCTGGTCAACATGGTGAAACCCCGTCTCTACTAAAAATACAAAAAATTAGCTGGGCATGGTGGCACGTGCCTGTAATCCCAGCTACTCAGGAGGCTGAGGCAGGAGAATTGCCTGAACCCAGGAGGCGGAGGTTGCGGTGAGCCGAGATTGCGCCATTGCCCTCCAGCCTGGGTAACAAGAGTGAAACTCTGTCTCAAAAAAAAAAATTTAAAAAATACAAAATAAAAATTCTGTGGTGTCGCCACAAACCAATTTGGTCTCTGGGGCAAACTGTGTCCCCCCATCCACACCCTGCAGCCCATAGTGGCCCTCACGGTGCCTATGCTTGCAGCCGGTCACCCACGGCTCCCAGCATTCTCGCCACATTTTGCCCATCACCCAGGCCCCCTGTACTGATCTCCACAGCTGCCTCAGACCTGCTTTTACAGCCTTTACTGATTTTACAGACCTGCTTTTACTGCTGTCTCCACTACCGTCCCCCGGGCAAGGTGTGAGACTGGTGCAGAGCAGACTCACCTCAGGGTGGCCTGGCCAGCATAGCTGCAGAGCACCTAGGACACGTGAAAATAATGCACATCCACCTCCTGAGTCCAGAAGACCTTTGCCTCCCGCTGAAAGAAACCACAATATTTAACCTCAGAATAGGCTGCTTTGCCATATTTTGGGATGGCTGTTCAGAGGATCTTGGGCAGCTGTGGGCCTGCTACGTGGTCTTCAGTTGGGGAGATGTGCCTCTTCAGAGACCGTGGGGTAGACAGCGGATGCATACAGCCTTCCTCTGCAGTCCCCGTGTCTGGATCTAGGAAAGACAAACTGAGAGGCGGACCCCTTTAAGGGTCTGAAAGACTTGCTTACCACAGGCTCCACAGAGTACCAGCTGTGAGGTGTCACCTGCAGACCTTTGCTAGCCAAGTCTCTCCTCTCCCTTTCTCTTAACCTATCTTGCTGTGCTCTGGGCTCCTATTATTTCTGTAATTTCAATATAGTTATAAAAGTGTCAACCATCTGGCTATTTCTTTTTTTATATATTTTGACTCTTGTGCATGTGTCTGCATGTAATAAAAATTTTTAAGCCAGTTTTATCCTGTTAATGTGTTTTACGTTTATTTCATAGACTCAGATTATCAAACCTTCAGGGAAAAAATTTAAACTTCCCTACATCACCTGCTGAAATCCTACTTTGTAAGAAGGATATAAAATCCCACCACCTCCAGGAAGCTGCCTCAGAGTACCCACTTCCTTCTGGAATCATCATCACAGGATTGCAGGTGGCCTCCCAGCTGGGTTTTCAGCAACCCTGGGGGCATTTTCACAGGCGGACACTGAGCCCTGGAGGAAGCATCTCTTTTATTCACCTCAATAAGGGGAGCCCAGAACTTACTGAGGGATTTAAAAGCCATGGTACAAAGCTGACTACCCACCATTTTCAATATCTTTTTCAATGTTTTAAATCACATTATCCCCTAAATTCTTGTTGTGTGAGCTTCAAACAACAAAGAACACCAAGTTCTCCTTTGGCCAGGTCCTTCCATTCCCCTCCTTGTTTGAATTTTCATGAGGCTTGATCTTTAACATTATCATTTCTGGTTTTTATGTATTGCTTAGGAAGGCTAAGATTATGAAAATATTTTTATGGCTTTGTTTTTATGCATAACTCTACAGTTTCTTAGGCCATGAACTTTACTTTGGAGGTGGTGTTAAAAGGCTGTGTGACATCTTGGGTGGAGGGCCAGGTATCCCCAGACCATTTGCTGTTGGGCTCCTTCCCTACTGTTTCAAAATGCCACCTTGGTCATAAATTCTTAAACATAGGTCTATATCTGGATTCTCTTTCATAGTCTATCCATTGGGTTGCTTATTCTAGTTTCAGTATCACGAAGTCCTAACTGGAATGCTTTTGTGTTCTGATATATGTGAGGGCCCTTATTCTCAGAACTTTTTGAATATTCCTGAACATTCTCCAGAATGTGAACTGCAGAGCCACAAATAATTGCCAAGCTTGGCAATCTAAGCCCTGCATTCCACTTTCAGCCAGGACGCAAAATGAGACAGGTTTCACAATGGCCATCTCCTGCTGGATGTTCTTTGATGAAATCTCTGCAACCCCAGGCCAAGTCCTGCTGTCGTGTGAAACAGACCCTGTGGTCAGTCTGTAGAATTAGGCCCTCATAGGTTTGAAATAGCATCACAATTTCATAGCTCTGCAAGCTTAACAGAGCAACTTCCCAAAGCAGCAGGATTCCAACTGGGGCAATAGTGTCTGTTCCACAGAGTAATTGAGAGGATGAAGTCAGTGATTGCAGAGGCAGCACTCTACTCAGGCCTGGCCTGGCTCATGGCCCCGTGCAGGCTATGACCATCCTGTGACATGAAACATTCCTTGAGTCTGGTGCCTTCTCACCAGGACATCAGGATTAGCTTTCTTTATGGCTTGTGTGGAAGATGCAATGACACAAGTTCATCTCTACAACACCTTCCCAGGCAGATCAACTGACGTCAATGTCCCCTCTTCAAGGGCGGCTATCTCAGTCCTAGCACTGCTTCCACTGGAAGAGTCTGAGCTCCTCATCCTAGCCTTGGTTCTGGGCAGCAAACAGCTCAGCCCTGAGCAGCCCTGTTCTTCTGTAGGCCCATGCAGCCCACTGCAGACAGGAACCCAGGCAGCTGATTCGCATGGCCTCAATTCCTGGGGCCAAAACACAGGGTCCTGGAAGGCCTAGTCTCACCACAGAGAAAGATAAATGGCTATAAAAATCCAAAATATTTTTGACAGAGAACTAGAGGCCTCCTGCCTCCCCTGAATGCTTTGGATTTGACACAGCCTTAGGGAAAAGGAAGCAAGCCAGAAGACTCAGGAGTTAAATTTTCTCACCTGGGCAGAAAAAGAGCTTGAAATTATAGAAGTAAAATAAAGTTATATTTCTGCTCATCTGAGTTTGTAGAGTAAGACTTGTAACTGCTGCATTTATTTTTACATGTATGTTTTAAATGTTGTGAAAAGAGCCACTTTTGTTCCTCTGTAACTTTAATAATAGCTTATCCTTTAATTATAGCTTATCCTTTATGAATACAGCTAATGTGAGGTGGCGTCTCAGTGTATACTATGTGCTAAACCCATTCTCACTGATGCATGTACATCAGCTGCATACTTAGCACTCACTTTATGTGTGAAATAAGTTGCCTGGGGTGAAAAGCCTAGACAGTGAAGCCAAAATTTAAACCCTGACAAAACTTTTCACTCCAGAACCCATAATATTCAGCATTGTGCTAAGCTGCCTTCTTCCACACCTTGTTTAAAAAATTAAAATTGAACTACAAGATTGTGACAGCAAACAGCAGCAGAAGCCAGGAGCTGAAGCCAGGTTTCTCACCAGGTGAAGCTGCCTTGCTAAGTTCGTATGTGACCTCAGGGACAGAGGCTACTCCACCTCCGCCATCCAAACCCTTCACTGGGTCTACCTTACTGAATCAAATTAAGTATATTTTCCTCCACGTTTCCCCAGAGTTCTGGGCTCCTTTGTACACTATAAGTCTTCTCTAAATGCCCTGGGTTTATTGATCCTTTGGTGAGTTTTCAACTCTTTTCATTATTTCTCTGCCCTGTCCTGACCACAAATCTTCAGTGCCTGTTTCTCCCTGCCATCCAAATCCCACACACACCTAGGGGTGAACTGGTGAATCTGCACCGATGACTCGTTTTGTGAATCCTTTCTAGGATCTCAGAATTTCATCCCATCACAAGAGAAGGCTCTAAAGACCTCAAGGAAAACCTCATGATGTCTATGTGTGAGAAGAAAACTTTTGCCCCTTCACCACCACACCCCATCATCCAAGCACACATTCCTTTGTTTGTTTTG